CAAATAAACATATAGCATCCGACAGAGGTATTTTAGCGAACTTTGCACACACACACACACACACACACACACACACACACACAACATCCGCCTTAAATCAGAAAAAAATCAGCACTCAATATTTTTAATACCAAAGTAGTTAATTATATCTTTCTAAACTACTGAAAATCTTATCATCTGTTCTCATGTTGAGGGTGTCCGACGGAAGATGATGTGTCTTATCTATTCTATATTAAATCCAACTTTTTGAATTTTGCCTAGACAAAATTAGAATTTCAGTAAATTTAAATAGAGAATACAACATATGTTCATGCTTCTAAGATAGATACTGGCAACAATTCGACATTTCATTCAAGAGACCATTTCATTCGAGAGATATGTTTTTCTCTTAAGTTATTCTGATAATGAGTAATTAATTATTGAACATTTCTCAGTCGAAGCATATTTTTCCTTTAGTTCGTACAATGTAAGATAAAGTCTCTTAGTAGCAGAAAGAATAGTATGATTTTTGATCGAGAAATTACCCTAAACTTTAAGAGTTCGTTTTGTTGCGACGTTAACAACAACAGATTATTTGCAAAGAGTTTCGATTGTGCATAAAAAGCTTTCAATTAAGATTTGACTGAACTGTTGGAAATTGCGAGCTCGATAGTATGACAATTTATCACACGTTGACGATGAACTAAATTTTCGTTGTTCGTAATCTGTCGTACAAATGGTCTCGATGTTTTCGGATAATTGATTTTAACAGACGAATGTGGAAAAATAACAGCTATAAGTAGTGAGTGCATTGTGATGTGCAAAGTTCGCTAAAATACCACTGTCGGATGCTTTATGTTTATTTGTCGGTAAATAGCTAAAGCATAATACACTATCAAAAGAAACAAACACATTACAAGAAAATCCGCTACTGTATAAATGTGCACAATAACCAAAAAATAACAAATGCGAACATAAAGACGAGCATCATCACAAGAAAGATTATCACTGTGATATAGAACCGGAATGAATGTGTTAAAAATAATCTGATTCATTATTTTTATTAATTATCCATTGAGCTTTAGTGTTAACAGTATCAATGATGGTTTTTTGTCGCCTGCAAACCCAGATTGTTCGCAGCCGAATGATGATGATGTGTTTTCTGATTGTGTGATGCCTGTTGGTGTTGATTAGTCAATTGATTTTCTAGATCGGCATATCTCACTAACATTTCATCATAAACTTGTACGAATTCACTTCGTGGCTGAGCAGCTATCAGCCATTGAATAGTTGATGTTATTGATTTATTATGATCTTTAATTGCATCAATTGCACGATAAGCACCTCCCAAACAAGCAGAGTTGGGTGCAAAAGCAGCATGAACCGGTTTTCCAAATGTATCAGCTAGTATTTGTAATAAATCAATATTCACTGAACCTCCACCTAAAGTGTAAAGTGTTCAAATAACATTTCATATGTATTTTGGATATGGTAAAACTACCTGTTATGACAATACGTTTAACATTGGCTAAATCAATATTTGCTCGCTGTAAATATAATCGTTTAGCTAAGCATTGTCCTTCTAATAGAGCTCTGGCTTTACAGGATGGTTCTAAATCTTTAACTTGTACACCATGTGCATCAAAATAAAATCGTCCTTGAATATTATGTGGTAATATTTCCTGATCATCAAAAAACATTCCAATATATCCATGGTTTGATGGTGGTGAATGACAAAGTAGTTCGGACATTTGTTGCCAATCTTTTTGAGTAATTTCTTCTTTTACACGTTCACGAACCAATGAACCATTTTTAAAACATAATAGTAACATAAGTAAATTATCATTATCATTTTTTTTCATTGGGTTAACAAATAAATGACCGTCAAATGCCTCTTTTGGAGCTTGTGATGCTTTTACTGAAGCGATAACTGTATCTGATGTTCCTAGAAAACACAATACTATCTTATAGACAGAAGAAATTAGTCGGAATATATTTTATTTCTCACCTAAGCTGATAACAATTGTTTCTGGATCCGATGCGAGTGCGTAGTATGATGACGGATTATCACCTGTGAAAGCAATAACTTTACAATCTGGATCAAATCCGTATCTATCAACAAAATAGATAGCTATTGGTCCAAGAATTGTTAATGGATGTACTAATTCATGATATAATTTTGATAGTAGATCTGGTGCACATGCATCTAAACATTCTTGCGACCATTTTAAGTTAATTATATCGAATAAATTCATGCCCGAACCATCCGAATAATCAACTGATGTATATTCACCAAGTAATAATGTTGATACAAAATTACTAACTAATTGAATTCTCTCAGTTTTTAAATATAAATCGTTTGATTCCGTTTGAAATTTCATTATTTGGCTTCCCGTAAATCTTTCATACGCTTTTGAGCCGGTTATTTCAAATAATTTTTGACTTCCCCCTAAACGTTCTTCCAACAGTCTACAATATTTTGTTGTAGATGAATCCATCCAAATTGGTGAATTTGCACGACTAAAACATTCTTTTAGATAATCAATAAGAAACAAGTTTTTTGGTAATTGTCTGAGTTTTTCTACCACGATTTCGCCGTGATCGTCGTCATTTGATGACGAATGTTGTTTTAAACGTTTTAAACCATTTTCACACGCATTTTCGGCCCAATATACGCTACCATGCTGTTGGCCACATCCTAAAACATAAAATTTTATGAGAAAAAAGTTGTCATCTTCATTATTCATATAATTTACCAGATATACCAACAATATTTTTAAAATCAAATGTTTTTTGATCACGTAATTTTTGTAATAACACGTCGAATGCTTCAATCCAAACGAGAACAGGCGTTGTTATACAATCTGGATCATTTTTATCAACAATGAAACCGTTTGGTAACACATAATTTTTAAGTAACGTTTTATCATTGAAACTAACTGAGTCTTCAGCTACAACGTTCAACTCTTCATCAATAACAACGCCTTTGAATTGTTGAGTACTCAAATCAAGACCAAGATATAAATTTTTCGTTGATTTTGACGACATTCATGAATATTGTACAAAAAATATTCTAAAGAAAAAACACATTGAACAAAATTCTGCATGTCATTTTTCTTTTAGTACAAATACGAAACAATCTGTTTTACTATACTATTATGAATGTTGAAAGAAAAGCCAACTAAAATTTATTAGGACTAGCAAAACTAATGTATTTATTTTAATAATAATAATAAGCGAGTAACAAAGTTTTTAATAAATAGAGCAAAAAACAATTTTATGATCACTGTTTTGAAGAAGAGGAAGCACCTTTAAAAAACAAATATAATAAAAACAATATAAAAAAAAGTCAGACAAACGTTTATTGCTATTGTTAATCCTCCAACGCCCATGTACCAGGCGGATATTTTTCATATAACTTTTCAATTTTTTCAATTTCTTCTTTGTAGCCAAGAAATATTGGACTTCGTTGATGAATTTCTTTTGGTTGAACTTTCAATACTGAACAATGACCATTTGACGATTGTCCGCCAGCCATTTCGACAATGTAAGACATTGGAATACTTTCATACAATAGACGAATTTTTCCATTTTTCGCTTCTTTCGTGCCTGGATACATAAAGACACCACCATAACACAGCGTACGATGAACATCGGCAACCATTGAACCAACATATCGATTGGCCCACGGTTTTTCTTTACCCTAGAAATAAAAGTGTATTGTTAATCTTTGTTTGATAGTTTAAACTCTAATGCTCACCTCTGGAAACTTTTTGCTACGCACATATTCAGTAACAGCTTTGTCCCAATACCTGTAAAACATACTTCGCTACAGTATTCAGATATTTTAACAAGAATCATGTTTTCTTTAGTGTCATCCGAATCTAACATTATCCTTTATATAACTAAGGACAAAACTTTACAGGGCACTAAATCTAAATAGAGAATTACATCCAGAAACCTCAGATTGCCTGATTTTGACAGAAAAATTCCGATTTTTTGCAGTGTTTTCTTTCTCGATCTATTTTGTCAAAAAAAAAAAATAAGGATAAATCACAAATACAAATAAACCAAAAACTCTTTTTCTGTGTCATACATTTATCTCAAGGATTTTATTTTTATGACAATATGATTTTTTTTCTCATTGTTGATTTTATGTTAAGCGAATATAATTTAATTTGTCAAAAAAGCACGTAAAATACGTGAATACAGAGATAATAAGACATTTAGTATTTAAAATAATATAATTAATCATTTAGATACCAGGATGGACCGCGTTCCGATTTTGAACTTTTTTAATTCTCATCTTCATCTTTTAGATTCGAGATCTCTGATTCCATTGCACTAAGCGCAAAAGCTTTGTATATAAAATAGAATTATCAAACATTATTGATATAAAAACAGATGAAATAATTACTTTGCATATCCTAAAAGTAAAAAAAGAAAATACAATATTGAATGAGAAATAGATAAATAAATAAAGTATAGAAAACAAACCTTCATTAATACTGTATATTTTTTGACCTCGTTTTTCGTTCATTCTTGGGATTGTTATAGATGGTGACGTGAGAATAAATTCACCAATTGACTAAACGAGATAACTAATAGTTTTGGAAAAATTAAATTCTTTTCTTATAACATACAGGATCATATGTAAAACCATTCACGCCATTTTTCGTTGCCAAAACAAGCATACACGCCGAACCGTAAACAGCATAACCAGCGCAACGTAACTTTTCACCACTTTGTAATATGCATGAAATGGGTTCTTTACTATCAAGTGGTTTTTTCCATACACCAAATATTGAGCCAATGGTTACTAAACAATCGATATTTGATGAACCATCTAATGGATCAAAACATACAACATAATTGCCCTAATAGAAATAAAACTATTATCCAAACATCAGAAACAAAAGTATCGAAGTGACAAACCTGTTTTGCTGTTTCAACTTCAATATAATTTTCATTTTCTTCCGATGCCATCACATGAACTGTATAAGAACTTGTTAACATATTGATGAATAATTCATTTGCTAATACATCCAATTTCTTTTGTTCATCACCGGTAGTATTGGACGAGCCAGCAAGTCCATATCTGAATACAATTAAATAAACGGAATGGTTGATTATTTCTGAAAGATCATTGTTACTAACAATTTTGCAATCCCAGCTTTTCTAACAGCGCTGGCACACGCTTTAATTGCTGTTAGAAGAGCATTCAGTAATATTGTTAAATCACCCGATGCTCCTGGAAAAAATCTTTTCTTCTCTTCGAGCACAAATCGAGTAACGGTCATACACTCCGTATCCATTATAGCAACCTTTATCTAAAATAAGACAACCAAGTTTGAATAGCAAAAGCCTGTTATGAGTATTTACATTTGATGATAACATAATTTAGCGTTGCTTACTTTTCTTCCTGTTCTTTTTCTTTTCCTGCATATTTATTTTCCTTCGCCCTGATATCTAGGTCAAAACTCGAATTAATTATCTATCTAGTTCTATTCGAAGTTGACAAGAATGCTAAATAAGGTATGAAACCTCGCATATTAAAAAATGATGGTACATGAACTTGCTACAGATAATGGCTAAATAAGCGAAGTGCCAAGATAAATACTGATTTCAAAGAAAAAACAATGCTCAAAATCCAAATGACAAACAATGCTGAGTTCTTTGTTGAAACAACGTATTCTAGAAATTCCTCGAAAGATACTATTGACATTCAAACAGATGTAGAGCAAGTTCAGGACACTACAATCAATGTAAATTTACATTGATTTTATGCGACATTATTAGCAGCATGTTTCTTTTACGTCTAACGTACACTTTTCTCTTTCCCTTGTACCGATGACTCATGATTCATTATTATTAGTCTGTCATTTACCCATTCAGTAGTAAATCGTCCTGGAGTCAATTTTTTAAAAAAACTTAAGTCAACTTAAGTTTCAAAAGTTCTTTGTCTTTTATGACTTAAGTTCGATTTTTGACTTAAGCCAGACTTAAGTTTTTTTTATAAAAGTGGCTCCTGCTTTGAGCATATCACTGTAAAAAAAAGCAACAGCAAAAACATAAAAGGTCACAGTAAAAACGTACCATCATGAAACTAATGTCACGTTTTAACTGTGACTTTATATATATTTTGTTAACGTTTTTTCTGTGGCAATGTCACATCCTAATGACATCTAAAAACGGATTTTTCGTGGCATCACTTTGCATTAGTTAAAATGGACCAATGGGATGAAGATAATGTCATATTTTCCTGTTACATGCCACTGTAGATTTGAAAAAAGAAACGTCCGTGGTTTTTCCACCTACTTTTCTCTGAACCACATATGAATACAAAAGTTCGTCGATCATTGAGTAAGGTCCGTAAAATATGTAATCACGGGCTTTTCAACCTGGAAGTTGTCAGTCATATCTGTAATTTTTCCGTGAAAATATGGATTAAAAATTTAAGTGCGTGAAAAATTACAGTTCTGACTGACAACTTCTAGGTTGAAAAACCCGTAATTACAT